TTCAATAAAGCAAAACAAGCTCTTGCTTCGCTACCAACGTTAGTCCATTATGACTCTAACAAGCCACTCATACTTCAGTGCGACGCGTCCCCTTGGGGGGTCGGGGCTGTTGTGTGCCACCGCATGGACAATGGTTCTTTACGTCCCATAGCATATGCATCGCGCACCTTACAGACGGCGGAGAAGAACTACTCACAACTGGACAGGGAAGCGCTAGCCGTTATCTTCGGAGTTAAGAGGTTTCACCAGTATTTATGGGAAAACGTTTTCGAGCTTCATCCAGACAACAAACCATTGATATCCTTGTTTGGGGAAACCAAAGGTATACAACAAATGGCATCACCGAGGATGCAAAGATGGGCTATAACCTTGAGTGCTTACAGTTACAAGATTGTTTATATTACCGGCGTCAGCAACTGCACAGCTGATGCACTCAACCGTCTGCCGATCACGGAAACTGCACATGAACACGACCCTCCGTCTGAACTGGTTAATCTAATGCAACATCTAGACACAACACCGATACGGAGTTCAACAATCCGTCAATGGACGGATCGAGACCCCGTGCTATCAATGGTGAAACGCTTTTTGAACATGGGTTGGCCTCCTGAAGGGACAGTTGAATTACAACCGTTTATGATTCGGGAGAACGAACTGAGTCTATTCGACGGCTGTGTTTCTTGGGGCTCTCGTCTAGTCCCTCCGACCAAGGCACGTTCACAGATACTTAAAGAGCTCCATGATGCTCATCCAGGTGTGGCGAGGATGAAGACACTAGCGAGAGGGTACTGCTGGTGGCCCAACATCGACTCAGACATAGAGAACTTACTGAAGAATTGCGATATTTGTCAGGCGTATCAGCGAAGCAAGGCGCCAGGTCCAATACACCCTTGGCGTTGGCCCGACAAGCCCTGGCAGCGTATCCACGCCGACTACTTCGGACCGATCGACGGGACCATGTTTCTTCTACTTATTGATGCACATTCTAAGTGGATTGACGTACATCCAGTTACTCAGGCGACAGCCGAATCCACCATCACTAAAATGCGCTCGTCCTTCGCTACGTTTGCCATTCCGGAAACCATTTGTACAGACAATGGTTCGCCTTTCACCAGTGCCGAATTTGGTAAATTTGTCGCCACCAACGGAATCCAACACGTTAAATCAGCCCCGTATCACCCAGCATCAAACGGATTAGCGGAGCGTGCAGTATAAACTGTGAAACAAGGCTTACTAAAGCAGCGAACGGGAACATTGCGAACAAAATTGGATCGGTTCCTATTCTCCTACCGTTCTACACCCACTGAGGCTACCGGGAAATCCCCGGCGGAATTGATGTTCGGCAGAGATCTGAGAACGAGGCTTCATTTGTTGTTCCCGAACCCGCGTGTTGAAGTACAGAAGCGTCAGAAAAACTTTGTGTCTTCAGAGGAATCAAAGCCGGAAGTTACATTTCAGGACCATCAACCTGTTTACACCAGGTTACCGCATGAACAATGTTGGCAGCCGGCGACTGTGCTCGATTCTTCAGGAAGTCAAAACCATTTGCAGCTTCCGGACGGCCGGGTTGTTCGCCGGCACTCAGATCATGTACGCCCCAGGAGCACTGACACACCTGCCGTGAGTCAGTCACACTCGGAGATCGCAGAGCAAGCTGCAGAGCACGACGAACACAGAACAACAGGGGAAACTCAATTATGCCGATCGACCCGAATTCGCAAACCGATCGAACGTTTTCAGCCATGACTGTAACGTCAGCCAAAACAGGGAGGACTGTTACGTGTTCAACCAATGATCGCTCACTATGACCCTGAACCTGATTGGCCCTATACACACACGTAGATAAGCACGCACACACGCACTCAAGGACACACCCTAACAATCCGTGCTTACATGTAAGCCGTCAAGTGTTCAGTACACTGTGCGCCAGACTGAAGCGTCTTCTTACTTTTCGCTACGAGTTGAAATACGTACTTGCGGTTAGAGTCCAGTTGTGATAACAACCAAAAGAATAATCCCGACATTGTATGTGACGCTTATTTTTGTTAGTTTCAGATAGAAACGTATGGGCTTCGTTTCGAGGTTCATAGTGACAGCGAAAAATTATCTACACGCTTCTCAACTAGCGGGTGGGTCTTAAAGATGGTGACCCTCCTCATCGAGTATTCCTTCTGATCAAAGACGTCCAATCTGTAGTTTTATGACGGAGTACATTTCTCAGTTCATTTCCTTCGCATGCCATCCGCAAAGCTTTCACATCCTCCTTTTCAAGCTCCTACATTTGTAAACGCTTGGTATATATGATAGATTTGTAGAACTTTAATTTTAATGCAAAGTCTTTGGTCTTTCTAAATATCTTGATTAATTTTCTCGTTTACAGGTCAGTCAAAGTGTCATTTGCTTTCTGATGATCAGGAATGGCACGTTTATCACGTGGAACAAGTGTAGTCAAGATACGATGGATCTGCAAGTAGAACTATTCTATTACAATAGGGGCGCAATTGGAAAGAATAGAAATATCGCAACTGGAAGACCGGATTTGTTTATTGGAAATGCTCCTTTGTATACTATGATAGATAGCCGTGCCGCATTTGGCATTCATTCCCATGTAGGAGGTAAGCCGTAGCATCTTGTGCTCACTGTCAGAGAGGTTGTCTATGGTGTGAAGAGTGTTCCGCCCTGACGCCTTGCTGCTGCTACACACAGCCAATAGTCATGTGTGGGCAAAGGATGCTGTGAGATCGAAGTAGTGACCTTTGAGTTAGATAAGGCATACAAACGAACATAAGGCATACAAGCCACTCATTCGGCCACCGGCTGCTGTTGCGAGTTCAGTAAAGTTGAACATCCATGATCCGAGCACCGATGTGTGGTGGATCCAGTTGCCACGACTCACATCGCAAGAACAACAAGCAATAAAATATCCAAGAGAGCAAGCATAAAGGCAACTAGAATTTAAAGAAAATGGAAGCACGAAGAAAGTCCTTTAAACTAATCAGAATGGAACAAAATTTACAGCCACATGCAAGAAATCGAATGCCAGAACGCCACTGCATATTTGACTGTCATAACTGAATGGGTCCCCAACCAATAGTATTGTATATGCCGAGAGCCCCTTCCACAAAGTTGGCACACACCAGCCTGACCATTTCTCTCAGATAATGTCGTCACGCTATTGTACTGCGCCGTGGACTGGCCACCTCGCCGTCCCGCACAACTCGATACAGACACAGTGTATAATGCACAGTGGGGAAGCTGATCAACGGATATAGCCTAACCAACGTAAGTGTTTGGAGTTTATCAAACACTCGAGAGAGACAGCAGAAGACTTCTTGCCAAAGACCATCTGGCAAACTTTGTCATTGCCCACCCGGAGTTCCTGCCACACGTGAGCAATTCTCAGCAGATACCGATGGTCAAATACGGCCAAGCTTTTAATGTCTTCATGGCGAACCGGCCATATCTCTGATCTGTGGTTATACCGGGCTTACCGCAACGTTGTACACCCTACCTTTCACTAACAAGCTGATATTCCGCGTCTCCATAGATGGTTGCGTCTCTTGAAAGCCCCACGGCCTTGCTGATACGCGAAGTAACTACTTAAGTGATATGACCACCAGAAATGACACAGCTGTCAAGGTAAGTGAACCGATTCACTAATTCCGGTGGCTGTTCGGTGCTAGCTAGAGCCGGTGGTGCATCGGTCCTTTCGTGCAACGGTGCTTTGCATTATGAAGGTGTAAAACACATGCCGAAGCGTGGAGCGAAGCGCGTCAGTCTAATCATTAGTGTTTGTATAGCCACTGCGTCAGACCCATGAGAGGTATGTCGTCCGCATACCCCAGATTTGTCAATCGCTCACCTGGCAGAAATCCCATTCCAGAGTAGTCTGAAAGAACCGATTGGTTCATGAGCATTTCGATCACAAACCTGAGGAGGGTAGAAAATATGGGATCTTGCGAATGGTCTTTATTTAGAATTGCCTTACTTTTATCTGGTTAGTTTGTGGTTGGTGCAAGATTTTGACGTACAAGTTGTATGAAAATACTTTGCAACACAGTCTCCAAATAGACGGCGATACAAATTGAAGTGAACATTGGTCAAATCGATAACTGGGACCCCAACTGCGGAGACGAATGAATATCGGGTGTTGCCCGCTGGCACGTAGCTTTAGTAAGTTATGCGTGTCCGCTTCGCTACTGATGCGTTATGTGATATCAGGTGTCATTGCCCAAGGTTTACTATCTGACTGAACTGATACATTAGTGAATAGCCCCATTTGTTACTGTACAAAGGGACTAAAGATCAGCCTAACGATTCTACTATTACCGAACGCCTTAAGCTTTAGCGGATCTTCGATCATTCATTATGATTCTGAAACATACGCTGCTGACTTTAAGGGAAATGGTTTTAAACATGCATTAGGTTCGTTCATGCCGTTTATTAAGGCTTCAGGGTATAAATATGAAAACATGCGGCTTCCGGAGTCTAATTCTTGTTCTTGTTATGCCATCTGATGCGCCAAGTATGCTTATCACATAAGATTTTTAATGAATTAAGTAGTTTAGACAGTCCAATGCTGTGTTATCCATTCTGGTACTGATAAACAGCTAAGAACATCGCCTTAGATCTAGGGTTTACACCACCAACAAGTAATACGTATGGTCTAGCAATGAGCATGCTTATTAGATTTAGTAATCCGAATAAATGCACTTACTTTGCATAACCTCATAGCACTCATTTCCTTCAGGACACTTGGTTTCCACGTACTCAAGTTGAACGCAGTTTCAGCCTATTAGATGGCATGAAGAAATGTATCCGCCAAATTTGACCTCGCGACCAATACATGCTCACACAGTGAGGCCCTCATGCACTTTAGTGCGGCAAAATTGCAAACTGGCTGAGCGCCTCACACATGGGTGACCTCAGGGGTGATGGGAACTCAGGATGAATATAAAATGGTATGCTGTGGGGGCTAGTTAGCATTTGATAAGTTACTCATGTCGATGATATTGGTGTTTTTAGCACTGCTATTACTCGGGAGAACTGCTGGTAAGTCCCTGTCTACCACCTTCTGAAATGTTTCCGATCCCCATTTATTATCTTGGACGTACGAACTAAATATCGCTTACTACTGATGCATCAACGCAATAGCACACATGTTACCTATAAACATAGGCTGCATTGGTGTCAAGGCAGCATCGTTAGCGTCGCATACATAAGTTATAATTACCCGATTTTGACTATGTGCGTTCAGTGTGGGACGCGTACACCTCTACAAGCATTATCAGCTGACTCCTCATACCTGAACGCACCTAATGGCTTCCCACTGGTTTTACACCCCACAGACTCTGTCACTTGTTACGAAGGTTGTGGTGGGCCTGATTGGCGAATGTGCTTGTTGGCTCCAAAATGTGTGTCTTGCACTGTAAGTGGATTCAAGATGACCATCATATTGTATATACTTTAACTAATCCCATGCAACAACATCGAGGATTAGCTATGTTACACCAGCTCTTCCAATGATAATCTAAGAATCTGTTTCATATCTCTAAATTTCTTTTGCGTTCTACACATTTTTGGACCCGGATTAATCAAGTCAAACAAGTGACCAATCGCTATGAATTCCCAGTTTTATCTCAGTTCACAATTGGACCATGAGACGTTGTTTGTTCTTTTATGTATGAGTAGAGCAACCTGGCTTGTCGAAGTGTATATGCAATTGAAACCACGGAACACGACCTCGTTTTCTCTGTCCTATGCACACCCATCCAAACGCCCACCTCTTGCCTCACTCACCCTCGTGCTGCTTTTTAGTACATGGAGTTCTTGGTGGACGGTCGGCCTACTGACTTTGGGCGAAGCTGCGAGCAACGTCCATGCAGCCAGATCGAAAACCATTCCGATCCATCTTGGAAGAGACTGTACTGCTGCACGAAGGATCTGTGCAACGCATCGGCGAAAACAGGTGAGTGCGCATTTCGTCTTCCTATGTGAATATGTTGTGATGAACATGTGAAGAAATCCGTTACCTCTTCTCATAAGGTTACAATTTGCGCGCACAGAAAGACATACGGAACGTTGGGGGCTGTCAGGTGGAGCGACTTTTCCCATTTTTAGATCATGCAAACAGGTTTTCATCGTTGACCTGGGCAGTGTCGCTTTGGGAACGGATCCACATATTCTCTTTTGTATTCCCTGTTAACCAAACAAAATTTTTTGCATTGTAGCAAAACACATTGTGCCGTCAACTTTTGTGAGTAGCAAATAATTCCAATGTTCGGATGGAAGCAACAAAAGGCGCACCTGGGGCTACTGTGAACATGCACGCTTTTGTTTGAAGTGCTTTTACCTATTTATCATACAACAGTTGCTTGTACACTTACTTTCCAATAGTTGACCCAATTACTTAGCTTCTCTGTGTAACTGTTGACCGTGCTTGAGAGATGAAAAATAAAGTATCAACACCACAAACAGTTTTATTTCGTCGCATTGTCACCATTGGAAGTACAAAACGGATCGTCGTGCATATATACGTGCGTTATCCATTTCACACTATTTAGGTTGACAAAGTTAAGTTCACGCTTCGAATTCACAATAGCCTGTGCTATATCTGTTTGACTTTAGTGTGTAGCTGATGGAGTATCGGGATTATACTCATGATTGTAGTTCTTTTATCGTCTGATGGATGCCAAATGTGGTTTTCGCTATACATTTAGCATGGTCCATGATTAGTGAGGGTGGTTACGCTTTCCGTAACTTTGTAACCTTGTATGTAAGCCGCTGAGGACATAATACGCTTGTGGTATTAAACCATTGTGTATCACGCTGGGAAACGCATAGTTATTGCAAGCGGTAGCCCCAATACATGGAGGCGAAAGTTAATTATTAGGCAAACACGGCGACCGCAATTTCCCCATTAGTAACTATGTTGGCATCGAGTGTACGGTAGGTTGTTGGCGACTTATTCATAATAGCTAGATTTTAGTATATGTGACTACTTATGAACAATGAACGATGATTTATAACGGGTAAAAAAGCAGGTGCTTGACATGTCCCGTAGGGTGTATAGCGTGGCCAAAAAAGATAGCGAAGGGAAAATGGAGTCATCAGTTCGGGCGCTTACAGATGTAACTGCGCTGTCGTATAAAGGGAGTTTGAAATGAGAATGTCCGCACACAAAGCAACAGGGGAGTGGTTATAGTTCACATCATAGGCGGGAAAAATTAAAAAGGATAGCAAGGACAACGCTTACTCGTGTGCAACTACCTTGGGTCGACAGGATACAGAAGTCCATTTTATACAGTAGTAGCTTTCATCAAATTCCGTGCAATGCGTTTGGAGTGACTCATTCTCGAGTAGGGTTATGGCACTATCCCCTGTCTGCTATGCATTAGTGCCAGCAGCTGGTTGTCATGAGCTATAGGACGTAGTGTAAATGTGACAAGGTATCGTCAAGGCGATTTTGAAAAGGGATAGGGTGGGTGCATTAATTACATGTACCGGGAGGGCGTTCCAAGGCTGTACCACTCGAAGGGAGGAATAGTTTCGCCGACATTCCAGGCGGCTGTACTGCGTGACTTACTTAAACTGGTGACCTCTTAGCGGGGTGATTTACTGAGTATTAGAGGAGAATGGCATGGGTGATTGGAGTTTCTCAGGATCTGATACACTATTATGAGATCGATACGTAGACGCCGATAACATCCACCGTATATTTTGAGGGTCTTCAGCCTGAGTGGGTAGGGAAGGCTGGTCAAACCTCTGACGTTCTTCGTTGCCCTACGTTGTGCAGTATCGAGCGCGGTGTGATGGTGCTTGAGCCAGGGTTGCTACGCTTGGATAGCATATTCCAAATGCGGCCTCACTTACGCACTAAGAATTTTTGGAAAGACTGAAGGGTCAAACTTCCCGGAGGCTCTGCGAAGAAGGCCGATGTATTGGTTCGCTTTTTTAGCTGCCTTTTCAGTCTGCCTCGAACAACGGAGGTCATCTTGAGCTATCACGCCGAGATCGCACTCATGAGAAGCCCGCTGTAGAATTTGTGGTCCTAGGCGGTAGTTGTGCATACTCTTGTGCCGTATACTGAGAAGTTTGCACTTGGTGACGTTGAAATGCAGCACGTTCTCGATGGACCATGTGTACGCTTTGTCCAGGTCCTCCTGTAAGACTGAGTGATCCTCCACTGCAGCTATAGTGCGCCATATCTTTAGGTCATCAGCAATTAGCAAACAGTTATAAGATAGAACACTCGCGAGATCATTTATGAAGACCAGGAACAGGCGGGGTCCAAGTACCGAGCATTGAGGTACTCTGCACTGAACTTTGATGGATTCTGATAGGTTGCTTCGAACACATATTTTCTTGACGGTGTCACCTTTGACACGCCGTGATCATCTCGTCATTATCAGATCCTCCTGGAGTTATCCCCATCCATTTTGGTCGTGGTTGTTACTCATTTTCACTAGCTCGCATCAGCGCGCGTTTGTTTCCGGGGTCATACAACCTGCTTGGATACAGATGTAACCACATAGAACACTAGTGTTTGTTGAAGAACGCATTAAGCATGGCATTCAGGATTCGGCAATGGATTCAAAATGTGACATAGTTGCTGGTGATGATGGCAATGGGAGTGGCGGGATCTTCATCCAGATATCATTCGTACAGATGATTGTATACAGATGCTGGCAATTTAACACCTTTAGCTTAAATTCCCACATAGGACAATGCATCGAATTGTTAGGTGGTGTAGAAGATGCCCAAATGTCTTATCCTCTGCTGACTTCCTACCGCGCCCTGCCACATGCTTGTGATTCCGGTTACCATTTACCCAACTCCTTTCCCTGTCCCAACCGAGCTTTATTACCTGACTCTTAATGGCGATTGTGTTCCGTGCCGTTAATTAAGCTTACTTGCACATTAAACACATAAATGACCTGAATTCAGCCGTGCATGCATGGAACTATATTGCCAAGTGCTGAACAGACCTAAGTGTCGTTTCACGTGGATTCGCTTCAGGTTATCAGCTTGTGATGTTCTGTTTTGACTCCCTCGCCGTGACATTCGGATACTGGGGGCAAGATATTTCTCATATCCTATGTGACCTGACGGTGTTACGGGATCATATGAGTAGAGTCCACATACAAGAAACCACCTCGTCTGTGAGGACAATTATATATGCTACTCCATGTGTAATTACAATACTTGCCATACCATCATGGTGTTTATGTGTGTGTGTAAGACACTGGCCGAACGCTCACGTTTCACGACAACCTCCCTTTCCGATTGTTCATGTGTAAGCCTGTTAAACCCACAGTATATTGAGACGAGCTTATTCTACGGGAACTTGAAGCTCAGCTTGCTGGCTACCTTGAATTGTTGTCGTTATTCGATACGCCTGTGTCGGAAGCACAGATTGTTGTGGTAGTATACATTGTTGTTTTTAAGTATTTGTAATAGTACCGTATTCCATTTCCGATGTTGGTCTGTTGATTCCGGTAGCAACGTGTTAATCGAAGACTTCCAAGCGAATTGTCGCTTACAGGCGGTGCGTCTTTTGTGGATATCTTATACTGCATCTCCCAATTCGCAATTGTAGATAAAATTCAATACACCTGCTGGATGCCTGCTTTTGCGTATCCTAGTACACTGGCAGAATGGCCGTCAATTTATTTAGAAATGCTACAATCTAGTTCAGCTGGTAGTTAGCAGAAACTCCTCGACATAATTGCATCACATTTGTTTATATGCCCAGGTGCCAGAATTCTAAACTGTCCCATGCAACTCTTGCTATTTGCTGACGTAACGCGTAACATTTTCGCTGATCGATTCAAATCAGCTTCAGAACAGTAATAGTAATTAATTGCCCAAAAACTAACTAAGACACAATCACCTAAAAACAATGCAATCTCCGAAAAAAGATAACCACTATCAAATGTGTCCTGACAATCAGGATATCATCACTATCACTCGCAGATGAAGCAGTTTGAAAGGTGCGGAAAGAAAACGAAAACTGGTAGATGCATACATTTTGTATTGTATCATCAGTACTGTTAACACTAGCTGATGTGTATAGATGTAGCTGTCACTGCGTACAATCGGACATGCTTGAAGTGCAGAGTTAATGATACAAGTTCACCCCTACGTTCACGTCAGCCCATAGCTGACGACTAAAGGTTTTGAACTCACAGTTCCGGATTTGAGCAGACTTATCACGACTGCCTCAGCAGATTGTAGGAACTGAGGATTAACGCAACGTAAGAACATTTGAACGCTGTCCAGCTCTATTCCGTGTCCAGAGTCCAGTAGGTGTTAGTCTGCCGAGGAAGCTGGCAGACTACGTAAGCACAGGAGTTGAGGAGGGTAGGGAGATTCAAAGATTTCTTGCTGGACCAAAGCCGTTCGTCAATAGTCCATTTTGTTTTTCAAAACCTCCAATTTGGTTTGCGAAACGTCCAATTTAACATGAAAATTGTATATGTGTGTGCTGGACCTGCGAACAAGATATCGCGCAGGCCCACAGCCTTGTTTGTACCTGTTTGCTCAAGTAAATAGTGGGACTAGCGAAGTCCGTAGCTGCAAATCGTTTGCCCGGTGTCACTTGTATGTGTCGAGTGAACCTTTCACGAATCAAAACAAAATATAGACTTCATTTATAAATCTGTTACCGTGGACCAAGGGACATGTTTTGCTGTGCATAAATTGGAGTTACGGCCGAATCGATCAAACACCGGCGCACCGTGCTGCTCACCTAATGTGCTAGCTGCAACACCACGCTTCGTTCTTTCGAGTATTTGTAGCCCAGCGTTGCACCTTATAGATTGCCTTCCACGGCGGGCGAGCTTATAGCCTTGGTCTGCGGGAGCAGTCGCCTCGTTGTGTGAATGTATTTGCTTCCAACGATAGACAGTCTGTTTAACACGTTGCCTTCCCAGCTTCACCCGGCGTTATTCCCTACCCTCACTTCACAGCTTCTCTCCCACTTAGGATCTTCAACTACTATGGTCCCCTGATCCCTTCAATTCCTGGCATTAGTTCAACCCATAACTGGACCCTAAATGCTGGAGGTCAAATTATCATTAATCACGAAAATAAGGTCTTTTTCGTCGCAGCATTTGCATTCGTAGATAGATTTGCATGAGAGCAGTCGAAGTTATTTTGGGTGCGGTAGGGCATTAGCTTCCTGTAACAACGTCCCAGTCTAATGGCTAAGCAGAGACGGAGCTGGCTTTTTTCAACTATTAGTATCACGCTTGATTGGCCGTCTAAGCAGGATGATATAGGGATCCCAATGGGTCTTCTTAGCTTTGGTGCGCATTAACTTTCGAAAGGCAATAACGCAAGCCTGCGAGGCGTGCTCCTTTTGACACATCAAGTCAGGATTTTACAAGTATAAAATAGCATTTTGGAATATGGTAGGCTAGTGAAGAATGGTACGGATTGGAGTAATCACAACAGGGCCGATATTCAAT